CTTTATATAATTTAACACAGGGTCTAGAATCGACAGGGCTTTTGGAATACGCCTTTGGATGATCGCATCACGAAGATTGCTCCTATTCCATTGAAAATGTGTCACCCCACCCCTATTCTATGTATTCGCAAAAAGGAAAAAAATATCGGAATAATAGTGTATACGCGTAATATTGGATGTGCTAACGTCAACAACAGCATAATACGTTCATTCCGAGATCTGTTTTACAAATTTAATCATCAATTCAAGGGGCGGTTTTTTGTTAATAATTCAAGGTTGCGTTATGAACACATATGCCAGAACTTTCGAGCAAAAATCATGACGAAGCTCAGGGTTTTATTAATAGATTGTATTGCGTTATTACTGCGGTTATATAAAATCACATGCCCAGAACAACGAAATCTTTTATTAATGCAAATGGTAGCATGTGCCACATGCTAAATATAGTACATATCCTATGGGTTCTTTACTATTTTATGATCTACTACATATTGTTTTCTTAACTCAGAAATTTTTCCTATGTTTTCATCATCTCGCATGATGGAAAAATATTCATAAGCACTACCGCTACCCCGAGATCGATTAACAATCCGATAATTTTATATTCTAACGTAGTTAAACTATTAGATGTATCCACCATATTGTTCTCACTCGTGAGAATGACCTCGAGTTTCCTCTTTTCGAAATTTTTTTTAATCTGATGATGTATACCAAGCAAAGTTAGAGGGATAATATTAATAACTTTACACTGATATGTTAATGTTGTGTCATCGATAGTTTTCTCATAATATAAAATATCCCCCGGTTTGATATAGTGTTCATCGAACAGGTCCTGTAAAGATACTTTTATAGGATCTATGTCTACAAACACAAATGATTACAGAGTTGTTACAAGAAGCAATGGAGAATAAAAATATTCTTAAGCTCTAAGAATAACTACCTTGCTCCTGCACTGTTAAACGCGCCATTAATTCACTCAAGTCTTGATCCATCTTCTGTTTCATAACTAAATGTGGAGAATGTCGAATTTGGATTTCGATTTATATGTAGAAAATTCATCACGTGACATCGATGTATAATTTTATTGGCGCTAATATTTATGGATAAAAGCTTATTATTCAACTTGCTTGATTTTACAAATTTATTTTCAACTTATATATTACAGTCTTCACATAATGGTATCATATTGACATGCAGCTTCCCAAACAATGCTATTGTGCTGAAATTAAATCAGGTGATAAATAAGTATGAATCTTCAAAAAAATCTATTATTTTGGTTTCTTTTTCAACAGTAAACCTTCCCCTTCTTTTAATACTTTAGAATTATGACTTATGATAAAATGATTTAGAGATGAAAAACTCGTACTAAAAAAATAGATTATCATTTGATCAGTATTCAAGTTTATCAATCATGTGGTATGTTTTTTAATAAAAAATAAAATCTGGGTCGATTTTAAAATTTTCATGTAACGTGAAATATGGGAGCTTTGCTATTAAAAATAGTTACGGGAATCTTTACACAAAAAATGAAATTTTTGAGTTAAATTTTTAGAGGCTTTCCCTTATGTTTTCGATAGAATGCATAAAATAAGAAATATGCGTGATCCTTATGCAGCCAACGCAAGGTGATTTTTGTTTAAATGTTACGTAATTCACTTATTTCGTATTAAATGTCAGATATTCAAAACAAAAAAAGCTGGAAGATACAGGCGAGAGCTACTTTTCCTTAGAAAAGCAAACCAAAAGTGGAGCGTGTAAAAAACGCATCTTATCTTTCAAAAGTACTCAAAAAAGATATATTCATCGTGCCAGAATACAAAATTTTGTGCGCAGACCTTTTTGTTACACCAATTGTATTTTACAAATCACGGTATCCAAAAATCACTCAGTAAAACAGGCCGAACCGGTGAAGATAATTAGTAACATGCCGGCCTATAAAAGCGATCAAAACGCAGATATTCGACTTTATTTTGTAGTCCCGGATGATATATACAACACATTTGAATGTCAGGATTATACAACAAAAGATAATACTTCTAAAGAAGATCGCCAAGTTAAGAGAATAAATTCCACCCTTGATAATGTTGAACAATGGGCCATAAAGGTCCAAATTAATCCTATACTAGAAGGGTTAGATAACGGGAACCGTTCAAAATCCCGAAGGGTCATAATCTCGAAGTCATAATCCCGAAGGGTCAAAATCCCGAATGATCATAATCCAGAATGACCATAATCCCGAATATTATTTTTATAAACGTTAAATATTAAAAATATTAAGTATATTTTAAAGAGTTCTATCACGAGATTATTTAGATTTTTAAATTTTTCTTTTAAAATTTAGCAAAAAATCTATATCTTGACTACTTTTTAAAATATTTTTTTTTGCCGACCATCGATAAAAATAGATGAAAATTGCAATTGCTAAATCATACAATGTACAATGTTGTGCGATACAAATCAATATTGCAATTAGCAAACTATTATATTATAATTTTAAAATTATGTTATTCGGGAGGATTATGTCATTCGGGATTATGATCGTTCGGGATTGTGATCATTCTGGATTTTGACCCTTCGAGATTATGATCTTTCGGGATTATGACTTCGGGATTATGACCCTTCGGGATTTTGATCTTCGGGATTTCGTACCAAACCCAACCATTAATAAATACTATATTCATCATTATGCGTGCATATTCCAAATCTATACTATAAGTTCTTCGGAGTTCTGATTTACAAAACGCGTTCTCAATTAATAATCAGTGAAGTTTAATAGTTTAATGTAGTTTTAACACGTTTACATTAATAAAAGTTTATTGCAAATCACATAAATATAGTAAATAATCAAAATAAATCTCTCCTTAAAAATCGAGAGCATCTATTTCTTTTTTTCTTTTTTAAAATTGTAAGATTTCATCCTCCTCTTGGTCATGTTTTTTCATTTATCATATTTGCTTCTTTCACAAATATCTTTGGCAACTATGTCTGAGTTTTACGAAATTATTAAGAAGAAATGGATAAATTACAAATTTATCTAATCCACTATTGAGATATAAAAAAAGAATCTAAATAAATATTTTTTGAAGGTTTTCTTAGAGTTTATCCGGTAATGTTAGCTAAAATATTTACCGTTATTACTGTTTGCGCAATAACTAAACCTTTTTTGTTCTTTATCATATTCCTTTCAAGGCGTCGTAATGTTTGGTCAACACGAATGTGACATGTTAACTAATTTCGTTTTTTTTGTTGCAGAGAAACACCAATCAATCTATTGAATCTAAAAAAAGCGAAAGTTGGGTAAGCTTTTGCAAATCTATAAAAAGTCTCAGAATCCTGTAACTAAAGACCTTTAAATTATAAATTTCCTACAAAGAAGTAAGTAGAAATTTTTCTTTGTATTCTGATATATATAATATCGTTGAAAGTTGGGTAGACATTAATTTTTATTTTTATTTTAAAATAGAGAAACTTTATTTTTTTTAATTTCATTAGTAAATTTGATCTTTTGTATAAAATTTTTACTATATTAAAAAAGAATAATTATTTTCTCTTGAAAATATTAATTCCTTAATAACTTCTTCTTATTAAGTATTTCCTTTATTTATCAAAATATTTAGTATATTATAATTTTTATTCTTAGAGTGAAAGCTAAAGTGTTTACATATGATAAACAGCTCAAACATCATTTAATCATAATGCAAATTACTTAAAATAATAACTTTTTTTATATATTTAACTTTAAACACTTTTCCCTTCCCTTACATTTAATCCCCAAGAAATTACCAAATTGAAACATCAATCAAAATTCTTTAAAATCAAAAATGATCTATTATACAAGGTACAAAGAAATAATTATGAAAAATTATTAAGAGTAATTAAAGTATTAGAATTAGAGCCAATACTTTATATAATGCATAATAATCCAACTGTTAAACACTTTTCAACTGATATAATATTTAACAAAATTAGTACTAGATATTATTAGCCTCAAATATATGAAAATATTAGAGCATACATTCAACCATGTAATACTTGTTAAAGAAGAGGAAGACCTAAAAATAATAATGAACTGCATCTTATTCCAGTAGATTCACCTTTTTATAGAATTGAAATAGACTTTTTTTGGACCTTTACCATAAACTAGTAGAGGAAATAAATATATTATAGTCGCAATTGATTATCTTACTAAATGGCCAAATGGCCAGAAACTAGAGTAGTAAGAGATGTAACTGCTAAAAATATTATTAAATTTTTATATAAAGATATTATTTGTTGACATGGATGCTTTATAAAGATCTTATTTGATAGAGTATCTCATTTTAACAATTAGCTAGTTACACAGTTAATGAATTAATTTCATATTCACCATAACTTATTAACTCCTTACCATCCTAAAAAAAATGGATTAGTAAAAAGATTTAATAGAATTTTATGTGAATCTTTAGTCAAATTAGTAAAAAAGTCAACTCAATAAGACTAATACATTTCACCAGTATTATTTGCTTATTATACAAGTAAGCAATCATCCACAAAAATTGATATTTGTACCAATTAAGATTTTTCTTTACAAAATCAAATTGATCATATCAATAAACTACTCCTAATATGACAAAAAGCAAAAATATAAGTACAACTTACATTGCAAAAACAAAAGAAATATCATAACAAAAATATAAGAATTACTGCTACATATAATATTAGAGATAATGTCTGGATCATCTGCCAAAATTGAATCACAAGATTCAAGAAGCAAAATGATTGATGATAATTCACGAATTTTAAGAAATAAAATGATTGATTGTTATCTGAAATTATCGAATTTACCTCAAAAGCATACAAGAAGGTATAAAAGTCATCCGCAAGTTACTGATAATTTGAGTGACTCTGAGGATAAGCAACATACTGAGTCTTCTTTAAGCGGAAATAGTAAATATAACAAAAGATAACATATTGAATCTCCTATGAGTGAAGACCAAAATATTTCTGATGATTTACTTGTTTCTAAAACTTTTGAAGATTATTCTCTACTGAAATATAAACCATATCAAGATGAAGAAGAGAAAGTAACGATCTATGATCAATTTGCATGGATTTTATTATGGATAATGAACTTTTGAATTAGATTCAACATACCAGAGACTACAACTGAGTCTCTTATAAAATTTATGAAATTAGTTCTAACTGAAATCAGTGGTGATAAGTTTAACAGATTTCTAAGTACTCTTTATTTAGCAAAGAAATCGCTTAGCCTCAAAGACCGATTTCATAGTTTCGTATCTTGTACGAAATGTTATAAACTTTACAACAGATATGAAGTGATGAACTTTCGACAAAATGATACTTTATCAATTATGATATGCAATCACGTCGAATTTCTGAATTCATCAATTTGCAGGTTACGGCCTTGTAATACACCATTGTCTCATAAAATGAATAATTCAAATTTTTTTCAACCAAAATTAATTCATCCATTTGCCAACATTCGAGAACAACTCAGTTTTATATTTCGTCGACAAGGATTCGAAAATTATCTATGTCATTGGGCCAATAGAACAAGTTTCAGTAACATATTGGCTGACATATATGATGGACATGTTTGGAAAACATTTAAAGAAAATGGTTCAGAAATCTCACTGAAATTTTCAGATCTGATGTAGCTTATTCACATTTAGGCTTAATGTTAAATTTGGATTGGTTTCAACTATTTGACAGAATAATCCATAGTACTGGAGTATTATATGCTGCAATTTGTACAGTCATACCTCTCTATAGCGAATTTTTATATAACGAATTTTTTGGACAACTATATTAAATTTACCCTCGTTATAACGAACTAGCCAATCAAATTCTTTAAAAAATTCACTATAGCTCTATAGCAAAGTTGAAGTTCAGGACATAAAATTCGTTATATCAAGGGTTGACTGTAATCTTTCAAAAGATATTCAATTTAAGCGAAAATTTACTAATTCTTGGAATCATTACACAAAATAAATCATTATTTAGTACCAATTGTTAACAAATTAGAGTTATTTTGAAATAGTGTGACTCTAAATTGAACATACGAATGTCAAGAAGGAAGGAGAATTCGAGCAGCATTAATCCTTGTTTCGTATGATATTTCTGCAGCAAGAAAAATTTGTGATCATATTTCGGCATTAGTGTTATGTCATAGATGCGAAAAGAAGGCAAATTATAAAAATCGGCAACATAATTTTGCTGGAATGAGTAACATGAACGAATGGTTTACTCCCTGGGATTCATCACAACATCGAGAGGATATACTTGGCTGACGAAAGTGCAATTCAGACACTGATAGAAAGCGATTTATAAAGCATACTAGCGTTAAATGGTCTGGTTACTTCATTTATCATACTTTGATCCAATTTATTTTTTAACGGTTGACCCAATGCATTGTCTATTTTTAAGCATAGTGAAATAGATAGTTAAATGAATTTGGATCAATGAGAAGGTTTTAACTTCAGATGCTCTTAAAAGTATCCAAAAGAATATGAATCAGATTCAAGTTTCAGCCAATTTAGGTAGAATCCCTCAAAAAATCGACTGCAAAGAAGGTTTTTTTAACTTCACAGCAGACCAATGGCGAACATTTTATACAATTTATGCAACTATATCACTTTGGGAACATTTATCAGTAATTGACCAAACGATTCTAACACATTTTGTTAAAGTTTGTTTGATTCTGGTAGGTTAAATTCTGGAACTCGATTTAGTATAAAAAGCTTATGAAAGGTTGATTAAAATAGTAAAACTTATTGAGAAGTATTACGAGCGTGATAAAATAATACTGAATCTCCACATTTTGCTCAATTTATGAGAATGCTCATACAATTTCAGTACTTTATATACTTTCTGATGTTTCTCATTTGAATGTATAAATGGGATACTCGGTAATTATAACTTCTTTTTCTTTTTACTGATTTATATAACGAAATGTGCTAGTAAATAACAAAATATGTTAATAATATTTAGGTTCGTTACTGAACAGCCATAGATAAATTAAGCCAGAAATAATGCGCAGATTAATGAATAATAATCATATTAGAGAAATCAGTAGTTCAGTAGATATTTGAACAAAAGGTTTAGATTTACTTGATAATCAAACTGTTGTTGGTTCATTATTAGAAAATGATGAATATTCATCAGATGAAATGGAGCGATTTTGGTCTAATTCAAGAAATATATGGGAATCGATCATAATTAGATGTGAACTATTTCCTGGAGAAATACTAAATCCTAAATTCAATGCAATATTATCTAAGTCGATGCTTGATTTAATGGTCGAATATCACATGGCAATATATGAAACATACAATTTTAAAGCACCATTTGACAATGGTCCTGAAGATTCGATTATACTTAATCATGTTAAAATAAATAAATTCAGTCAGTGTAGAATTGGTTCAGAGGTGTTTGGCATATTATCTCGACATGTGAAAATTTCATTTATTTTAGCAAATTTTATAACATTCAATAATCAGATTGACTGTTATGCTGGTCAAGTCCAGTATTTTTTAAGCATATGGGAGCGTTTCCAGTAAAATCACATTACGGATCATATGATTTACTATGCCTCATAACTTGATTTTACTGGAAACGTTCCCATATAATTGATTTTGAGGATAGACTGGCAGAACATAATTTAGCATTTATTCGGTGATATAAGCTGGCAGAAACATATAAAGTTTGATATTATTTTAGTATCGATGATGATAAAATTCTTGTAATGCTGAACTATGGAAAAATGAATTTTTTCCGATGGTCATGACAGTATTATTCCAGTGCATAATATTCTTTGTCGATTTGTATCAGTAAAATATAAGGTTTCTACTCGTCCAAATGCCGTTGAATATTTAGCCATAAATCTGATAAATCGTAAATTTCATATTCGTTAACTTTGATTTTGTAATATAAATTTTTATAATAAACCAAAACCTGATTAATATAATGCTGAATTATATACAATGTAACAAACAACAGTCAATTTATTATAATTTTCATGTCAAATTTTAAAGAATAACTGAAATTTTACCGAACTGAATCATTTAAATGTTTACCGAAAGGTCTTAGTATAAAAATAATGCTAAATTATATACAATGTAACAAATGACTATCAATTTTTGTAACTTAAGCCGAATTTTGCCAAATCATATGACCGAATCGACTAAATGTTAACTGAATAGTATTAGTGCCGAAATAATACTAAATTATGTATAATGTAACAAATGACTATCGATTTTTGTAACTTAAGCCAAATTTTGTCAAATCATATGACCGAATCGGCTGAATGTTAACCGAATGGTATTAGTGCTGAATGAAATGATTTCGACTAGTGTGATCAAATACTAGAAAATCAGAGAAATCTGTTAATAAATCATGATCAAATACTAGGAAAATAAAAATTTCAAAGATCGACTTGTTTTCAAACAATAATTTCATCTTTCAGACAAGTTTAAGTAATACTACTAGGGTATATCAAGAAACGATTCAATTAGCAATAGCAAATTATATTTTTTATTATTTTTACTTGTTTTAACTAACTCTTAATGTATTTATTTATCACGTAGATAGAAGAAACATCAACAATGCCTTTGTCTGATATAGTAATATCTTATTTTACACATCGAATGACATCTAAAATATCTAAGATAAGCTTCAGAGTATCTCAAGGTTCTAAAGAATCTGCTGAAGGTCAAATAGAATTTATATCAACATATATCTTGCATTTATTAATATAATATTAAATTAATTCTAATTTATTAGCTGATTATACACGAGAATTAATGAAAATAATTAAAATCTGTCAAAGCAATTCAACAAAACTGAACGAACTAATTGTAAATCAAGAAAAACTAGAAGAGAAGATAAATAATCAGAATAATAAAATATCAACAATATTGTCATTGTTAAATGATTACTACAAGAAGATCTGCCTTAAAATTAAGACGAAAGATAAAGAAAAAGCAAAGTTAAGAAAGAGGAAGATTTTTACTATGTAAATAAATATAAATAATTTATAATATTTCTTTAAATATTTGCTTATAATTATATTTGTATGATTAAAAAGCTTGCCTACGAAATATTCCATAAGCATAAACAGTTATCTGAACAACAGATGAAAGAACATTTTAAAGAAAAATTAGACAGTGATGAACATTAAGTTGATTTTTTCTGGAAGTCTAATGAAAGAGGTTTAACCTTTGATGGGTTGTGAAACAGAAAAATGTATTCCTCTGTAAGTACTAGTGTTCCAATTTATATAACATTATATTAGTTAGTATACTAATATGTTTAGTAAATTAGCTACTCATCACAGTCTGTTCAAAAAGAGGCTACTATATAAGAAGAGTTAAAGAAAGTTTGTGGTCAACATTTGGTATAAACTGAATAAAGCCTTTTAAAGATACTTATACCAAACATTATATGAAAGAGTGGAAGCAAAATAAAATGTTCGACAAGTATATGATGATTTATATAAGCCTATTGATCCTGAAGATACGTAAGCTGACACATATATTTCTCTAATAATTAAATTCATTTTTACGGTTGAAAAAGAACGTACACAATTAAATGAGGTTTGGGTTCAGTCAGTTCTCGAGGTAATTTTTGATGAAAAATATCTTTTGTTGAAAATTGACTCTGATGTAGTAGAAAATTGGACCAAAGTGATTACTGACACCAAAATGATAAGTATACAGACTAAATTTATAATAGTATTTAAACTTAATTACTAATATTAAAATACTTTTTATTAGTACTCAGATATACATGATCATTATTCTTCTGTGTATTTACCTTCTGATCAATTGGTAGATGATGATAGTAATAATAATATGTAATCGGTAAATGATTAAATACGTGTTTATTGTGTTTATTATTTTCGTAGAATATTTAAATTTCACATATTATTTTGTATTTTTTTTTCTTTTAATTCTTTTATATTTTTATTTCGATTATTTCAATTGATGTATCAATTTATTCATTACTATTATAAATTTATTAATATATATATCGTGTTTTCAGCTAACATTATATGTATAACTATGTAATATTACATGTGTTTTTTAATTAATTATACGTGTTTTTCAACTAAAGTAATATTGTTATATGTGTTTTCCAACTAGTATTAAC